TGGATGTGGGAAAATGAAGGCTCAGGGTCACCAGGATGCTGCTGGGTGGAGGGATAGGAGATGAATGGCAGAGAGGCAGCATGCAGGGGCATTTGTCAGGATGGACTGGAAGGGCTGGTGGCTTCTGCCAAGATCTCTGCAGCAGCAGGACCTATCCAAGGCAGAAGCTGGAGTCTGGATGCAGGTGGCAATCCACAGTTCACATCTATTGATTTTCATTTAGCTGTTTGCACCTTTTGTGTAGTGGAGCAAAGATCATCACATTCCTCCCAACCCATTCCAAATTATAACTCCACATTTTGAGGATTTATATATTTATACAAAATGTTGTATAAATAGTGATGCAGTGCTCCCACAATACTCCACAATCCTTGAATGCAAATTACCACTGARCAGAAAAATACAAGATTCTCCTTCTACAGCCATGCAACTGCCTTTAAGATGAATATGGTATTAGGAAACTTATGGCAAAGCTCTACAACCTCGTAAAATACTTTTTTTGGGGGGTAGCATATCACAGCATATCATCAGAGCATCCTCAGAAAMTGCCACCACAGACACCCAATTGGACAAAATGGAAAAGAAGCATCAAAAAATAATATTAAAGACAGATTTGCAGCCTTGTTGTAGCATCATTTATATAAACTCATTTATTTCAGAGAAAGTCCAACCTATTTCCTTCTCCAGACAACACTAGTCTGAATTTCTCAGTAATCCTCTAATGATTGTCAGTGGGTACCGTGAGTGGAAAAAAAGTCACGTGGCAGATTGACTTCACTGCAGTTGTTTAAAGCCAAGTGTAAGTTCAAGATTGGATCCTAGGTAAACGCAAATCCTGAGAAAACCAAGGACCAAATCCTTAGTGTAATTCTGATCTTGCTCACTGGCCAAATGCAAGCATAAAATTAAAGTAGGTTTGATTCTAGTCACTTTGAGTGGAATAAGTTGAAACAAGTGAGGCTGTATCTGCTTAGGTTWTGCATGCTTTTGGCACTACACTTGTTTTCATGTGTTTTCCTTTTGCTTGGTGGATTTCAAGGGAAATAAAGACTTTATGCTGGATATAATTACCATTTTGGTCTAGTATCTCAAGTTATTTTTCCAGCGGAAACTTATGGGTGGGAAAACTTGACACTTYGGAAAGTGTGCCAAAATTTAGTGCAAGTTTACATTTACCAAAGGAACATTTGACATTTCATTGATGCATCACAAAGAGAAAAAGAGGACACACCTGACAGGATTATCTTGTACTGAAGTATTTTAAAACAAACAATGGTACTGCCCAGCAGTAAGAAAAAGTGAAGTAAAGGCCGGAGTAGCAAAAAGGAAACAACTGTGATCCTATGGAAAGTGTGAATATTACTCAGAGCACAATGACACAATCCTTAGTTTCACAGTACAGGAGAARCCTTTTAAAGCATACCCAAAATCCTGGATATTTTTCAATAGTTTAAGGTATTTCCAGGGCAAATACAAAAGYGCTTTATTACAACTTGCCTACCCTACCATCTTAAATATATATTTTTAAAAAAAAACAGGATTTTTTTCTTCCAAATCAGCCATGTGTAAATTTTGGCATGGTGATTTTAAATTTCTTTAGAGATGTTTTTGCTTCCACTCCATCTTATTACAACATGCCATTCTCACACAACTTTCACGAGATCTCTAATGACACAGTGGTTTTCTATCCCCAAACTGCCATACATAAAATAGATTGGGGTTTATCAGAGATTTGCTCTATTTTTCAGTTTCCTATTTAAGCCAACCTCAACTCTCCTGGCAAAAGATAATGAAAAAGACCATTAAGCAAAGCAATAAAGAGTAATATAAAAGCTCATTATAAGCCCAATTCATAAAATTACAAGCTGTAGTGTGCAGTATGCCCAACTAAAACTGAAAACCAAGTTCAAGCATACCAAACAAGATTATAAATTAGCTGTTGTTTTTCTGTCTGAGAAAAGCCACTCTTTAATGAGCTTGGAAACACAGCTAAATATTTTCTTTCATAAATTCAWGAAAAAGCCATACCACTTTTGAGACTTCTGCTGGGCAGCTTTTTCTCGTCTCTCTTTTCCTCTTTTAAATTTTAAATACTGCAAAGGAACCATTTGCTCTGTGAGGTTCCCATAGTTAGGACCAAACCCTTCTCAGAGGAATTTTGGCACCTTATTAATTAGCTGGTTATGAGAAGGAGCTGCACTCTTTCAGTGACTCCTATTTCACCATCAGTAAAGTGTGATACCATAATAAATTTCCATCAAGCAAACTATTTCTGGTAATTCCCCCTAATTAACACCAGACTGCTAATAATAAATTAGGCCCTATGTGTTTCTGATATAACCAAGATCTTGTCTGAGCACAAGATATTAACCAACGTCCCAAGAAAGTAAAACGTGAACCTAAATTAAGCCTCTGCTGGTAAAAGGATTTATATGCAATTTTGTGAGAAACTCTTTGAAGATCTCATACAGGGCATTTTGACCAGCAAATATTTTGAGTGACAGAGAGATTTGTTCTGTGCTGAGCAGTGAAAGTGGATTTATTGTGAAAACACACCATTGAGTTTTAAGCCTATAAATCTTACACTGGATTACAGCATCTTAATGAATGAATGACAGATCTCTTTTTTTTTTTGGTCGGTGCATTTTAAAGTTACATGACGTTGTGATTGATAGAAACCAAACCTTTGCCATTAAAATGTCAAATGCAGACTTCATGCCTTTAAAAATTTGGCTTCTGGAGCTTAATGTACTGTTTGCAAATAGACTTGGGTTTGTCTCGCTCACAGCCTAAACACTGAAAGGGAGGCAAGCTTTCTGTAAAGTTGCCTCTAAATTTTATAGGGCTGTGTGCAGTGTTTTCTTTTGCCTGTGTAAATAAAGGTAGAAAACAACAGCGCATTTGCCTGGTTCAGAGATGCTCAGCTAAGGGGATTCTTACCAGACTGGTGTTATCATGAAGGAATTGGCCGTGTTAGAGCACACATTTAAGGGTCCCTCAGTGGAAACAGAGACTGCTGAATGCCAAGGCTGAGTACAGTATAGACAATGCTTGCCTAAGCAGGCACTATTTCCCTGGACAGTGAYAATTTAGGAAAAATATTGAACCCTTCTAAACAAACAGTGCAAAGTATTCTAGATGGGCAGTAGAGTGGAGTAAGGATAGCAAACAAACAGTAATTGGCCAATGTAAGTTTTACATTGTCACATTCTAAAAAAACCCATAAAACCTGAAGAATGAGCAGCTCAAATGCTACCCATTCCTGTGTACAATCATGGTTTTCCTTTACTAACTACAGTTCAGGAAAACATCCAACAACCACAAAATAACTGAAGACTGAAAAATTTAGGTTTTGCGTAGGGTTTATTTGCTTGTTATGTTTTTAAATTATAATTAATTTTGCAAACGTGAAAAGCCAAAATTTAATGCCAAAGATTATTAAACATAAGCAAAGAAATCATCAGGATTTAACAGCTGGCAGTTTAGCATAAAACAATGTTTGCAAAGCAGCTCACATGGCTAGATGATGTGAGTAGCTCTGTGAAGAAACAGGTACACAATTAACAGACCAACACAAACTGAGCCACAGCTCAACTCCTGCTTTTAAGTTTATAAGCATTGTTATATTAAACATTTATATTTACATGTAATCCTGAATTATTTCATTACAACAAACCAAAGCTGTCATCATGGATCAATTATTCACTTATAAAGACATYCTACCTTCAAAAAGAGCTAAACCAAATTCTCTCACAGGCAGTTTTGGATGAAAAATAGTGACTGACTGAAAATGCATGCAAAAATCTACAGTAGTTAGGTTACTARTATATCTCTCCTGACTCTGTAACATTTCCTCATAACATGAATGCTGTATGTGTGAAAAACAGTCGGGAATCTCACAAAATCCCCAAATGATGATGGAACAATGCTGGGTTTTGCTATGTCAAGTCTGCATTCAAATACACATTTATACGTGTGYCTCTCAATGCACGTGCATACGTGTRCATGTGGAGAGAAGTACATTTAAACACACACACTCAGACCCCAAAAGATTCTAGAGGTAAAGGCAGGCTTACAGATAAAACAAAATAATACCAGGATGAAATAGTTCTAAACAACAACAACAACAAAAAGGTAATAAATATTCAGTGAGATATATGGCAGTATTATAAAGTGCTCTACTAAAATCTCACTTATTAAAATAATGATAAAAATTATGTTCCTTTTAGTTGATTTATATAATTTGGTAAAGCCATTAAATATTYATTATCTATCAGTGACTCTATGCTTCCTTTTAAATTTTAAACAAATAGATAAAAGCAGAAATTAAAAAGCAAAGCAGCTAAATGAAGCAGTTCTATTGGAGCCTTTCAGGCTTTTGTCCTCAAATTCATTAACAACTGCAAAATTTCAAACCCTAGAGCATATGGATTAAAAAACAAAATTCCAATTAAAATTATGAAACTAARCAAAATTTAATTGGATTTTAAGGATAATGACAAACTGAGAAGTTTTTATCCTACGTTAAAATTCCAAGGTTTGAGTTGCAGATACTACTGAACGCCTTTTCCTGTGCATTTTCCCTCTTTCCTCATGCATGTGCAACAAAGCTCCACTGAAACCTAGTTCACAGGTCTCATTTCTCCACATTCCACTTAATTTTAAAAGCAACCTGGCTTATATGTTACCATATCTTGCCCAGACTGCTTCCACCCTTCTGATTTTCAGCCAAACTCACAAAAGGGTACATCTACAAGAGTGTAAACATTTTAAACAGCTTTATACCGTACCACCAAATTTCTTCTTATTTACCAACATTCACCCAATTTACCAAATTTCGTCTGTACCATAGGAAGTTAAAAATGAAACATGGTAGTATTGAAGAAAAACAACTTTGGGAATCCTCACTAAATTAATAAAAAGCCAAATATCTTTTCATATTTCGGTACAGCAACTTTGGTTCTCTTTCCTCCTCTKTTGTTGATGTTCCTCATTGTGATTGCTTTACTCAACCACAGCAATTTTTTGTGGGTTGTTTTTTTTTTTTAATTCATGGTTTTATGGATAAAACTATCCTTTGAATCAGTAAAAAACCCCACAACAACAACAAAACCAGTAAATGGTTATTTTTAATGTCTACTAGCAAGGGCACTAAAGACTAACAATTCATCTCTGACATCCCAGTTGTATCATGTGAATTCAGTTTCCTTCAGGAATCTGCTCTGATCCCGAGAGAGCCCCCTGCTCTGTTGTGCAATTCTGCTGAAGCAAAATTCACCMTGTRCAGAGATGCACCACCTCTTCCCTGGCTGCCTGCAGTTGCTCCATACCAGTTAAGCTCTAATTTGAAGCCAAGGGGGACTGAGCTGATGCACTGGTCTCACACTGACTCTCTGTGTGGACACAAAATTCCTATCAAGCCACAGAATTGGCTGATCTGGCTGGCAGTAAATGCGTAATGACAGCATTGTCTCTCTGCTCCCTTGCAAGATCTGAGAGATACTGAGCTGCTGAAACCAATGTAATATTATTTAACAATACATTCCCTACATCTGGAATAAAAGAGAAAAAATAAACTAATAAAAATCATAACAGCTGAGCGAGGAAGTTAAGTTTTCAGTACGCTACCTGGCACACCACCAATATACATATTCATGAGCTACATGATAAAGAATGTACTGAGAATAAAACAATGTCCTCAGCTGCACTTCAGCAGTTTCCCTCATTCAACACCAAAATCTCACACTCTGGATACAAAACACTGTTGCCTCCAGATTCAGCGCAATTTCCCCTTTCCAAGGCACTTAAAGCTACCTAAAACCTGAACTGCAAACAGAAAACTCGAAATCCCTGCTCCCTAAAGATTAGATCTGACATTTTCATCCTATCAAACACACCCTCAAGAGCAGAGGTTTTTGGCTGGTGTTCTGGCAGTACATAACTTACAGAGAAGGATCCCATTTATGTTTTAAGTGGCATTTTCTAAACTATTCTTTTTTACCAGCATAGCCACTTAAATGCTCTGTAAAAATTTCTGTGCTTTGCAAACCCATCCTAAATTTAATTGCAAAGGCACAGGTATATGTAATTGTGTAGGAGGCCTCCTCTATATAAATATCAGATTTAAAAAAATAATTTTTGAATTATGTATTTTGTGTAATCTTATCTTTACTTTGAGTGCTTTTGAATAGAGTTTAGCTGCAATACTTCTGGACACAGTTTAAAAACATCACTGAAATAAAGTGATCTGGATTGCTGAATCCAATCTCCTTTTATTTGTTGAATAGCAGCAAGACCAAGACTTCTAAAATCAGGTATTTACTTTCATAGGTACTTCACTTCTCATCCTGAAACAGATATAAATGTGGCCATAAAATCATGACACTAACACAGTAATGTGCAAAGTGTAGAGATAAAGGCAGTTGAATTGTTTGGCTAGGGTGCAATTCCTGATACCTTTCTTTTTATGAAGCAAAACTGTAAATGATAAACGCTCTGAAAAATTAGTGTACAATCCCTTCTGAAAGTTTCCACATCTCTTTTCCATTTAAGAAAAATTGTATATAAATAATTTTAACCAATTATTGAACATTGACATTTTAACCTTCCTGCTCAGTACATTTGCTACACAAGATGAGCTCCGAGCCTCAGATGTTGACAGAGTGGGCGTGTTTCTTGCACAGTGGCTTGTCCTTCTTAGAGAAGAAAGTCTGGCCTTCCAAACTGTCATTACATACCTGAAATGGGATATAAGAGAAAAGAACACCCAATTCAGATGGATGAATTACACCATAACCAGTCAGAATGCCCAATCATGGTATGGTTCTATTCACAACTATATTCAAAGAGTAAGAATTGCCTTTTTTTTTTTAGGGATATTCATTTTAAGTAATACTAGTGATTGGTATGAGCATTACCTTTTTTAAGACAACAGATGTTTAACTGGGAGCAGAGTTAGAGTCGGAATTTAAAAAAAAAAGGCCCAATAATTAAGATGGGGGCTTCTTTTTTTTGTTTTGTGATCGCACAATATTAGCAGGCAACACCTTGGCTACAGGGTCCTTATGCCAAAAGCAGCCTTGCTGCTGTGCTCATTCCCTTATCCCCTTCAACACTTGCTCTGAGGAAGCAAACWTCGAGGGTTAAATGTGGGGACACAGGGCTGCAATCCAGGACGCCATCCCTCATGCCTGTGCCAAAGGCTAACAATAGCAACAGACCTTCCAAATAACTGGGAAAGCACTTTTTGTTTGGGCTCAGGGGATTGACAGAGGTTAGAGCTGTTAACTCCCATATGGGTCAGGTTAGCACAAGCACTGCTGCCAGGGTTTGTTTAAAGGCAGAGCAGCTTTACTTACGGAGCATACAAAGCAGGTGTCATGCCAAGTGTGGCCCAGGGCTTCAAGAAACCTGTCTCCAGCTTCAATGGGGAACTCACAGCCRTGGCACATCGTACCAAAGAGGGCATAGTAATCTGCAAAGAGACACAAACAGCTTTTAAAGCATATGCAGAAAAGCAAGACTGACCCTTTGAGAGCTTTGCTCTTTTCTTTTATTGGCAATAGGTTTGGACTTGTTGAGGTTTGTAAGACTAAGCTCCTAGATCGAAAGACTGGGATGTTGACCTTGCTAATTCACTTCTCATCCCCTTCCTCATCCTTTCAAGTGAGCAATGCTTCCATCTTCCTGGTGTTTCATTTCCTTGAGATCAACAGTGTTTGAGAGGGGAAATGCACTCCTCGCAGAGCACCCACGTGAACTCTACAAGTTCCTTACACTCTCTCCATCTCTGCTTTGAAAGCACACCCCAACTGCTCACGCTACAGAGCTCCTCAGACAGTAATGAACTACTACCCAAGTTCTGGCACAATATTTGCCCCAGACTGCACTACTCAAAACCATGTAATCATTAGGCTTCTGTCCTAATTAGTCTACAAATTTGGATCAAGTCAGAATACCTTTCTAGTCACTGGAGTTTATTGCATAGTTTTTAAAAAATACCAAAACAACAGAATAAAACCCCTAAAGAAGCAAAACCCTTTCCTTTCATCACTATGAAGAACAAGAAGCTCCTCCAGCAATCTCAGAGAGCAGGGACTAAAACAAATGGCATTGAACTGTTCACATTYCCCATCCCAAGTTGTCTGCTCTTTTACAATTATTTCAACTCTCAAGCACCCCATTCTAGGAGCCAAACATTTTTTCCTGCAGAAACAACAATGGCGTTAATGCTATAACATGAGATAATCTGGGACCAGCACACTACCATGGCAAACACATCATGCAACATTATGTMTTCATAAGATGAAAATGCAGTCAAAGTGACAGCCATAATGAAGCTTTGGAYTCCATCTACCAGTAATAAAGTGTTACCACCATGGTAACCCTCTGCCTCTGRCAGGGAAATTAGATGCCAGGGGTGSTTTAYAAAGGAGAATTGTAARGGGTGGGAAGAGGGGCAGAAGTGGATTTTGTTTCTCACCTAGACTATACAGATCTGCTGAAGCTCTAATGCTTACTGCAGTAGAGCCCACAGAGGATCATCAGATTTGTCAAGCCCAAGAGGAAAGTCCTGGTTTGGTTTAGCAAGAGAGTGTTTTGTGTGATGACCTCCACTAAAATGAATCATCATAGGAGACATCTCCRTAGGATGGGGAACACAACTGCTCTGAAAAAACAAAGCCCTCCATGGCTGCCAGTGGCAAGACTGACCACCTTCATTAATCCATGCTATTGGAATAAATTTGTATGTGTTTAAGAAGAAAGACAATAAAAAGATCAAATGGTAGGACAGATCTGTGCAAAACCCCTGAAGGACATGGTCTCACGACCATACTCTTTCAGCTCTTTGCATTTGTGGTCATACAGAATCTTACTGATATTTTCCTGGTGCCAGCAGTTAAAACCTTTTGTTAGTTGGCCTGTGGTTGTGTTGATAAGTTTATTGGCTTTTCTTCTGAAGCAAGGGCAGTAGATAAGGCAGAACGAAGGGCATCAGCTTTCTTTTGCTTTTGCATGCTTGAATTGCGATACCACAGAAGCCTTCCAAGGCAGACTTCTCACACAGTCACATATCAGTGCTTCCTGCACACAGCATTTTCAAAAYTAGGTTACTAATGCTGCACTTAAAAAAAGTTCAAAGTGGTAGATATCTGGACTTCTAATTTAATTTTAGCTTCAACATCTAAACCCAGAACATTCTGCAGATTAAACCCCCTTTAATACTAATAGCTGATGCTGTTATAATTTCAAATACAGGTTTAAAATTAGAACTCTCCTTTACACTAGAAAGAAGGAAAGTTGGCAATGACATTTACTCCTTATTTCTTTAAAATTAGTCACAGACTCATAATTCCAGCTGGACTGAAAGTCTTTGAAAAATTAATATAACTCAAATTAACATCTCGTTAGTGAGCCAGAGCCATTACAAAGTATCACTGCCAATAACAGCTCACAGATTGTGTCTGCATTAACTTGCACTAGCAACTTTTGGTCTCAGAAATAAACTTTGCAAGAAGTGTAGTATACTTGACATCTTATCACAGTTTTTCCTGCTCACAGTAYAGGAAAAGGCACATTTTGCATGGGAGCTGTAACAGTAGCACAAATCAATGCACCGCACGGCTCGTGGGTCATTTGGTGGCAGGAACRAAAATTGAACCTTAACAGAACAAACCCTGTCACGAGCTTTCCACCCAAAGGGGAGTTATTGATTCCTCCAGTACTATTTTCGAATCATCAAATGGTTCCAAGATTGGGGGMTTCACATTGCTTCAGGATGGAATTTCACCGTGCTGTCACACTGCTGGATGCTGCTGGTATATCCGTTTCCTCTGCTGCTCACAAATTCAATAGGAGCAACACCCTACCCTGCTTGTGTCACCAAGCTAGCAATAACCTAGCCTTTTCTATCCTTTTCTATCTGCCAACACCTCATTAAAGCAGCTCTGACAAGAAAAATTTTGGATAAATTGGCCTACTTCTCTCATGCCTACAGYAACCAGCACTCTCCATGGCACCCACTGTGAACAGTTGTGGGATCAGTTCAGAAGGAAATCTTAGCTTCAAAGAGGTCACAGACCAGAAAGCCAACTGWACCCTGGGCTACACCACAAGAGGAGTGGCCAGCAGGGGAGGAGGGGATACTGAACCATCTMCTCTGCCCTCCTGAGACCCACCAGAAGTCCTGCAGCCAGCTGTGGGGCTCCCAAGATGGGATGGATGTGGACCTGCTGGAGCATATCCAGAGAAGGTCACAAGAATGCTCAGAGGGCTGGAGCAGCTATCGTTTGAGGAAAGGCTGAGAGAGTTGTGGCTGTTCCTAGAGAAGASAAGGCACCAGGCAGACCTCACAGCACCTTCCAGTACCTGAAGGGGGCCTAMAGGAAAGCTGGRGAGGGACTTTTTARAAGGGCATGTAGTGACRGACAAGGGGGAATGGCTTTAAACTGAAAGAGAGTACATTTACAGTGGATAGTAGGATAACATTTTTWTTACTGTGAGGGTGYCRAGGCATTGGAACAGGTTGCCCAGAGCAGCTGTGGATTCCCCATTCCTTGAAGTGTTCAAGGCCAGTTGGATGGRGCTTTGAGCAACATGATCTGGTGGAAGGTGTCCCTGCCCATGGCAGTGGGGCTGGAACTAGARATCTCCAAGGTCCYTTCCAAYSCAAACTATTCTATGGTTCTATTAAAAATGTTATGATTAGCTGCAAGAGCTAAAAAACTGAACCAGAAATGTTCTGAACTTCTAAGCCACGTTGTCCATGTAATATTGCTCAYCAGGCTTTTGAGTGCTGTAATTGTATCACTGTATTTTGCCCCGACTGTTCTTTTATCCCCACGRGTTTTCAACAGATGTTATCCCTGATCCTGTAAAAAGCTACCTGGACAGACTGCTCACTCTTGGAAGTCCCTCAAGCTGTGAGTAAGGCTATTCAGAGAAAAACACATTACTCCACTAGCATCTGTTTCTGTTTAGTAAATAAGCAGATTTACATAAACTTCAGATTATTTTAAAGCCAACCAGAAAGTTTCCCTAAAACTAACACTTTGATATATCACTGATACTACGGCTGAGGCTTAACAGAAATAGGTAAAATCAGTGACAAGCAACCTGCTGCTGCTGAAGGCGATGAAAAAATCATCACCAACTTCTCCCTGCTGCAAACTTAGTGTTTACAGCAGCTGTTGGTGCTTTGAATTGACATATCAAAGTTACATTAAATTTCTGGKGCACTTCAAATGTGAAGCTTGAGGAAAAGGAATTTTTTTTTCCCCAACCTTACTGAACTCTGCTTTCCTGCACAGCTGCAGTAAACTTTGGTTGTGTTGCTCCTTACCCGTCTCACAGTAGGGATCACCATCTTCTAAGTGAAAGACATTATTGCGGATGGGGTTATGACAGGCCACACACACGAAGCAGGAAACGTGCCAAGTTTGTTTCAAAGCATTTATTACTTCCTGTGGGGATTAGAAAAAGTGTTAGGAACACATTATTTCGATGTGATGACTACATTGTGGTAGCCATACCTCCACACTCGATTCATTTCAAGAATACTTCGTTTCCTACTGCTACTTTGAAAATGGGTTGTGCACATAAGTTCTGCGATGTTTAACTTAATGAGGTGCTTTATTTATGGTACATCTCCTTATTTTTCATGAGCAATCCTTCRGGGTTTTTGGAAGGTTCAACACAGAGTTGGACAGACTTAACAACTCATTTGTTCAACTTTTGAATTTTAATTAGGATCKCACCTACAATGGTCCCCTGAAACAAGAAAAGCAGCAACTCTGCCTTCTCCTGAAGTCTGTGTGTTAATCAGATTTGATCAGAAGACATCACACAGAAAATTACGAGTGCTCTGTGTTGTTTTGGAAGATGCTATAGTGCCACATACAACATGAGAATGCCAGAGCCCAGCATGACCCCAGTTACACAAGAATGCAGACACATTGCTGTCTGCAGTGAACAGCCGAACTGCTGGCGGGCTCAAATGAGCAATATCAGTGCCGAGTAGGACCCACACTAACACCAGGAATGTTTCAGTACTTCATATCTAGCCAGCAGTGTGTTGCTTAGCGGATTATGTCTTTTTAGTCCCCTTCCCCACTTCCCCACTTCCGTTCTGTAAAAAAGCTGCCAATTGAAACCATTTTGCTCAAGAAAATTCGGTTAATTGCAACAGCTACAGAACAGCTTAATGAAAACAGAAGCTGAACTTGGAAGAGCAAGGAGACTAGAGCACCTTTTCTCAAAGAGATTGAAAAGATTCTACATTAGAAGAACCAAAGTCATATTTTGTATGTGACGGGAGTTAAAAAGGTATGTCAAGAGTATGTTTGGAAGAATGCAGACTGGGCCAKATAAAATGGAATTTCACTGCACAGAAGCACTGAACGCTGAAATTATTGTTCCCACCAAAAACCAGGCCTCTTGGTGGTCACTTACCCCAAGGATCTTCCTTTGGCACTTTGAACACTCAGGGGCAAAGAACTTCTCATAGCAGACCTCACAGTACAGCATCCCTTTCTCTTCCACAAATCCAATGTAAGCCATGGAGGTTTTGCAGTGGGCRCAATTAAACTCCTCAGGATGCCATGACTTTCCCAAAGCCACCAAGAAAGGTCCTCTGATTAGAAAGAAGAGATATTATTAGCAAAGCACCTGGGCTGGCTCCTGCAAAAGTTATTAATAGACGTATCTGCAATAGCTCCGTGCCATTACCACACTGCTCACACACATACACTACTCCAACTGCTCTATCTCTCTTTCCTCCTACAGGCTCTGAGAAAGCTCCAAGTGCTGACTGTATCTGTCTCCATTGAACTGTCTCATAGAAATGCCCACTCACAAAATTATTCTTTTCACTTTGCTACATTTCAGAAATTTTACTTTAGAACTACATTAAATATGGTGCTGAAGTTCACCTCTGATTATTGGAGGGAATGCAGTGCAAAAGGGCTCCTGAAAAGAAGTTTTTAGCTCTTCAAGGAAGGAGCTGGGGCTGAGCACAGCTCTCCTGCCCCGCTCCCTGCAGATGCCTGAGCAGTGCAAACACTGACCTAACCCGATACCCTCCCACTGCTCTACAAGCACCTTTTTACATCAATGCCCTTTCAGTTATGTACTGATCAAACAATACAAGCCCTTATGTACAACAAAGTGCTCTCAGAGCGCCATGTCAGCACAGGCTAATTTAACAGATTCATTAACACGGGACTGACACTAAAGACGCTCTCCCAGCTCCAGGTAGGATTGAGTTTCTGGCCATCTGCACCGAAATAACAGGCTGTTTGCTCTGCAGGGGGAAGCAAGCATGCTAGCAACAGAAGGAGAAGGAATTTTTACATCTGCTGCATTTAGCTCTCCAGAGTTTACAGTCCTGACATGTTGAGGTCAACCATTCAGGACAGTGTGCAGGAATCCAGACGGACAGGGAACAGCTCAAGAGTGCACCTACAGAGTTCCTTTCCCAAAGCCCCCAGACAGCTGGGGCTGTGCCCTGCACAATGTCTATGAGGTGTTCCATTAGTGGACTGGCTCCCTGTGCACACATGTCCAGAAAAACACTTTCTAAATACAATTTTACTTTCAATCAGGCCGCAGTTTAAACATGTCAAGCTGATACTGCAGCTTAATGATACCTGCAACTTAAAAGCTGCCCCAGAGTATGTGGAAGGAAAAAAAAAAGGAGACCTGCCATGTAAAATATACTAAAACATGATATTCAGAACTTGGAGGCGTTCCCAGTGTCTGCATAATTTTGCCATCAAGATGATAGCATACAGTAATGAAAGGTATTTATTTCCTCTATTAATTTGAAAAATACTTTTAAGTCACAATTAGAGTAAGGGGGCCACATGCCCACACTCATGCAGTGTGACAGAAACAGCTAGAGGGATGCAATGCTAGGAAGTAGGCTGTAGATCCTTCCTTCCTTCCTTCCTTCCTTCCTCCTTCCTTCCTTCCTTCCTTCCTTCCTTCCTTCCTTCCTTCCTTCCTTCCTTCCTTCCTTCCTTCCTTCCTTCCTTCCTTCCTTCCTTCCTTCCTCATTTGAAAAGAAAACCATTTAAAATCCCACATGCCTCTGTCAACTAGAACATATTTGTAAAAGTAGCACTAAAAAACCATGTTCCTCCTGTCCAAATGGGATATGGGATGACCCAACTGGCAACACTTGGCCATGAACATGCCTCTGCCCCTGGCTATTTCGACATGCTGAGCATTTCTGATCAAATWTCTGGCATCACCACCTAGAACACGTGAACGGAACTCAGAGATGAAAATAAACTAGTCATTTGTTTATTATTTGTTTGGAAATAGATTCTGSTTGATTTACAAGAGTATTTGCAGAATCTTATGCCCCAAAGGATCATCAGGTATATAATTTTAGTTGTCAGCTCGAACATCTGGGTTCTATGTGTAACAATGATATTGAAGCAAACTGAAAGGAGATGTAAGCAACATACAGGGAATGTAAGTACAATTTCAGTGACTAAACACACATAACTGAATATAACTATATCAGTATGGTCATGATGTGTTACATTAGTATGCCAATAATCTAGTTTCTCATGTGGCTTGTATTATGATAGTAAGCCAGAACTGAAATTTAGTGGTAGAGAGATCAAAATGGATTTCCACATCTGCTAGGAAGACCAATCTCTTTACAGTGTCTACATCCCATACAGCAGTTCTACATTCTTGGAAGTTTCTTTTCCTCATCTGAAAATGCYACAGTATACAATTTGTGTATAGGAGGTGCTAAAGGGAAGCACCATTTGTACTTTTTCCCTTTTGCCTCTAAAAACAATTAAGGTTTATTAAAAGGTGACAAAGCCAATTCATCATTCACAGCGGACATGCCAAAGAGTACGTTCTCAATGTTGATCCAGGGAAAACACATTTTGACTTCAAAGGAAGAGCCAACTCTGCAGTGCAGAACTTGGTAAGGCTGCCTGGGAACCAGAAGTCTTCATCAGGAAATGCCAGAAGTCTGTCAGACCGTCACAGCAAGTCGATCAAGAGAAATTTAGTTTGCCTCCAGCTTTGATTCTTTTAGACATGGAAAGAAAAGCTTACTTAATGAAGCTTTSGAAAAAACTGGAACCTTCAGACAATCACTGTGTGAATAATTGAAGATATATTAAAAAGTTATAAGGTGTCTCAAAGAAAGGTTTTGGCTCAACCAGCCATGGTTATTCTATGCCTGAGTGTAAAGTAACCAAGTCCAGAATGCATTTTGGCTTCAAAACAGATGTACAATGCAATGTCACTTGATCCTCCTCCTACCTTTTCATAGGTAGAACTACCACTGAGGGCATGAAGTGTAATTATGCTAAAACTTGAATTTAAAATGCCGTTGCAATCTTCCAAATTCACTGTGTGCTGTGAACATCAGGCATATTTGGCATTGATTAATGCACATCAACTCATCTCGGAACACTTGCTTTTAAATAATTGAGTAGGCATTTAACATATGAAGAAATATAAGGATTTACACACCACCAGCAAATTACAAAGAAGTTAAAGGTGGGTACCAATTACTATTCATGAAAAGGTGTCACTTACAATAGGTGACAATGGCTTAAGTACAGTCAAGTGGGGCTCTGCAGCTTCTCCTCAGCTATTCTCCCAGGAGTAAATGCTGCTCCACAGACCAATRGAGTGCCCTACTCAGAGGGCAGCAGCTGATCTCTTGTTTTAGTGATGATCAAAAAGGGGATGTGGGGAGTAGCAGAAAGTGATTTAAGGACCGAGAGAAGAGGGGAAGTGCTCAGCAGTGAGATCCCACAGCACAGAGCATCAGCACACTGTGATAAACCCCAGCTGCTGCAAAAGCCAGTGAATGYCTTGTATGAAAGGTGCAGCATACAGTGCACTTTGTGTTTGGTTTTAAACTAAAGTAACAGTAACAAAAAGGAAAGTGAATGGTTTCTTGCATGTTATTTACTAGACACAAATCCAAAGCCCAAAGGGAACAAAATGAACAGAACACTAAAGACAGACAGAATTATTATAAAGGCCAACCTGTTCAAGGAATCAGATGAGTCTCATCCCAAAAATATGTACACCTTTTTTTTATCTTTATCTTTCATTTTGTAATGAAGCAAAAACCCCTGGATTAAGATGCACAGGTRCACCTGTGTTGGGAATTTGTGTAACTATTTTCTATTGCTTCAAGAGGGTTAGGCTCATATATTTTTATTTTCTTGGCACATACAGTGAAAGTAGGAACAACTTTTCTAAAACATCACAGATCCATTAGTAAAGAATTCTAAAATTCACCTAGTGCAAACTGAACTGGTAGTGAGCTATCAGAAYAGAAATCTCATGGAAGCAAACAAGCTGGACTCAGCTGACCTGTAAAGATCAAGTGATTTGCATTAGCTGGTTCTGATGAACAAGCCAAGCTAGGGCTCAAGAGGCTACAAAAACACATGGTGGAAAGGCTGATTTTCTGTTATACTGTTATATTCTACAAATTATACAATTTGTAGAGTTCCTCATTTTTCATAGCTTAGGTTTTCTAATCAAAAAAATCACTTCTTTAATCATGGTGAAACATAATGCAGGCTCTCTTATTTTATCCACTGAAAACACGGGACATAGATAAACAAATAAAAAATACGATTACAAAATAATTCCTTTCCCTTGTACTTCAACAATACAAATGACTGAATAAGCAAGAAGAAAACACTYTTAAAGTATACACAGTTTCCATTAATCCTAAGAGATTTCTATTTTAGGGAAGAAATAAAACGCAAGATGGATGAAAATGAACATGATTTGCACACTGGCCATAAAAGCAATTACAATTCCCTGGATGAGACAATTGTGACTAATTGTCAGAAATCACTGACTGAACAATGCAACCCAGATTCAATTCTTCCTCCAAACAAAATTCTGACTTACAATAGGATATCTTATGGATCAGCAGAACTTATTTAACTTAATCTCATTTGGCAAACTCATGTTTGTGTTGCCTAATGTTGTCTACCCATGTCATACAAGTCAAGTACAATAGCTATCATAATGCCCAAAGGCCAGAGAGCTCATTTAAGAGCTTGAAATCCAGGAGTGCAAGAAATAACTTTCAATCCTGTCCCAGCAATTGTTAAAACATCAGTCCTGGCTTTTCTTCTATGGATGGAGCCTGTTATTTTTCTTCTCCATTAGAAATCATGGTTTAGAAACCAACAATTGTGACTTTACAAGACTATACTCTCTGATTGGTTTCCAACTAGCTAATACTCCCAGTTCTACTGGAATGGGTGTATAAATRAAAACTAACTTGCTTACTTTTCTTTATTTTAAAATTTACTCTATTCCATCCAGGTTTCTGGTTCTCTGTAAAATGGACTGTGCCTGTTAGCAGTTCCCAACCGTTTTCCTCCAAAGTAGTCTCATTCTCAGTTTTGTTAGATAAATCACGCAAAAAACRGTGTTCTGCATTACTGAAAGGAAGCCTTAAACCACTTGTGACCAAAGAATCAAAACCCAAGAAAGCAAAACAAAGCCCTGCTGTGAGAGAGCCTGCAGGATGAACAGAATCATAGAATCATTTAGGTTGGAAATAGACCTATAAAATCATAAARTCCAACTGCTCAYSYAGCACTGCCAAATCTACCACTAAGCCATGTCCATAAGTGTCACATCTACATGTCTTAAATACCTCCAGGATGGTAACTCCAAGACTTCCCTGGGCAGCCTGTTCCAGTGCTGGACAACCCTTACGGTGATTTTTTTTTTTTCCTAACATCCAACCTAGACCTCTCGATTGCATTTTGAGGCTACGTCCTATCAGTGGAGGAACATTATTTCCATAATGACAAAAGAAAGTACTGTTGCCTCTAGGTAAACCTGCTGGCTCCTTTGAACCAACCTCCACTTCACTACAGCCTCCTTTCAGGCAGCTGTAGAGAGCAATAAGGCTCTCCCTGAGCCTCCTTTTCTCCGGGCTGAACAGCCCAGCTCCYTCAGTTGCTCCTCAACACTTTTGTGTTCCAGACCCTTCAATAGCTCCACACATACTCTGGACATGCTCCAGCACCTCAACATTAAACAGGACATGCTCCAATCCTGAGCCTGGGGAGCAGCACTGGTGACCAGTCCCCCACTGGRTTTAGCTCCATTCATCACCACTGGCTCATCCAGCCAGTCTTGTACCCCCTAGGAGTGTCCCCAGCAAGCAGATACAAACCTAATGACTTGGTTACAATGGGCACACATGGGAGTGCGCTTCCCCGCTGGAATATGCTCCGCCCTCTGAACCAACGTGTCTTGCTCGTTTAGCTGAGGGGCTGTTGCAGCTTTTTCACTTGGGGCAGTTGTTCCAGGTGATTTAATACTGTTTGATGTCCATCCACTGACAGRACCTGGGGAAAGAATRCCAAAATCATTTAGAGGACCATCTTTCAGTGCCAAGTAAATTAACTTGAAATACAAGAAGGCAACAACGTTTGCCTAACATCATTGTCCGGTCTATACCTGCCTCCTTATAGGAACAGACTAAAAAGCACTCCTTTTCCCCTTCTCCCCCAACAAGTTACCAAATAAGWCCTACCTACTTTATGAAATGTCTGTGAAATAACACAGAATGGTTTTGGCTAACTTGTAGAGGTAGTGAGAAAACTTCAACATGTTGAAGAASTTAGGCAAAAGAATATACAACCTGTGAAGGCATTATTTTGTTTTGGATACAAAAGCTGAAGCCAAGAACATCAACGTATGAACAGAGGCAGGAAAARATGACATCCCTACTAAAAAAATTTCACAGTGAGTGCAATAGATCATTACTAATGTGTTAAACAAGAACATAYATTCAATACAAGATGTGTAAAAGTTTAGAGTAGTGTATAAGCAAAATGCTTTCCTAAATTGAAATTAAACACTAGTCTAGATCAGCGGATTCTGCCAATCTGAAGCACTCCAAAGGTCATGTTCACATCCTCCTWATAGAAGTATGACACAAATAAAACCCTGACATTTTCAGAAATACACTACACACTTCCATGTGTACTCAGGGTTTTAGAGTTGTACAATAGACATAAGCTTTTATGTAGTTTGAAAAATGCATTTACAAAAATGAAAGGCACAAATGATACTGCTGCAAGGATAGTGAAGAAACAAACAGTCCTCTGCTTTTCTTTCCCCTCTATTGATAAATGTACCTTGGTTACATAAAAGCTCCAGCAACATGTGTTTATGGGAGCAGTTATTCATGTCAAGAGGACGTATCTCTCTTTTTCAAGTACATTATAAAAAARCCCACATTTCCATAGCCTTTTGTTTGTAACCACAGGCAAAAGAAACTTGGAGTGTTTACTTGGTGCCCTGGCTTCAGTGCAACCTTGCTATAAATTAAAGACTGAAATTAAGACCGGAATGGAAACTCAGAATCAAACGACCAAGCAATGACTGAGACATCAGACAGTGCAGGATGATGCTTCTGCTGCAAAGATGCAGCTCTCCACCCAACACCAGGGTCAAGGCATTGGTAGCTTTGCAARAAATACCTAGTTTGTAGACCTGTTAATCTTTGTGCTGTTACAGTCCTCTCTCATTTTTCATATCAYCTTCCAGGGAAAAGATGAAAAATTGTTTCTCCATTAATGTAATGGTGATCAGCCTCTCTCCTACAGAAAAGTGGCAAGTACTTTACAGGCAAAACAATGCATTCCCTGCTGAAAGTGAAGTGGCAAGCTAATTCATAGAGAAGATAGATTTGAGCCACACTGAACCCACAGAAAATCCAACATAAATGCCAATACTGTGCTATTTACAGAAGATAGCCAAAACAATACCATGAGCTTTAGCAAACCCCTCCTCTATTCTTGTGTAGGCTAAGACAATACATCTGGCAGAGAAATCCTTTCTAAAACCAAAGCTTTTGTACTATAATTACACTAGGTATTAACCGGCTGATACAGGCTCAATACCTGCTTTAGCTTACTCTTTCAATGTATGAAGAAACAATATACTCATATATATATTTTTTTTTGTTTGAGTGGCTTGTTCACCAAAATTTCTAATATCAGGTCATTTCAAGAATGACATATTTCTGGATCCCTTTCAGAAGGGATGTAGCAGAAAGTACAACAATTCATATGGGTTGCTTTTTTTAGTTCTGTTTCTTTTTTTCTTTTTTAAAACAAGGCTATTGGTTATATATCCCTAATATCCTTAGTCTTGAAATATTCAATATTCTGGAACGGAAATAATTTAGGAGTAGAAGCACTTGATCTTGAACAAGCCACTCTGCTACTGTAGTTCACTTTAGATTACAAATGCCTGCTAAGCTGTAAACCTAGGAAGGGATAAAAATGAAAAAGGTGGCAGAATGACTTTGAAGACATGAACAAAAGGGGTGTTGATTAATAGCCCTTTCCTCCTCTGTCATCACACATGGTTTTTCAATTTTCAGATCCCATTTCATGAGAAGACAGGARCACACACTAAACTCAAATCTGTTTGAAGACTGCTTTTGCCATAAATCAAATTGCAGCACAGCTTCTGATGTATTGCTAATTTCTGTTTGGGTTATCTACTGAAGCCCAAAGCTTATTCAGACACATCAGCTGTCTCATTTGCACTGTGTAGGTAAAAAAAAAGTCTTTCTGCTTGCTTAAGGGGGGAAAAAAAAAGTGCGAACATCACCATTTCTCCCTTTGGTTTYTTTACAGCATTCATTACTGCTGTTTTTATGAATGATGTTTTTCTGAACACTACCTAAATTCAAAGTTACTACAGGACAGGAGCAGAATTTGTCTATGTRAATCTTCTCTGCAAAGCTGTTAAATCAGTCATTTCTGAGTTACTTAAAGCACTGACAAGGAAGAGAAGGAGATAGTCCATCACATTATAACAAAAACTCTCTTTTAAGCAAAAGATAATAGAAACCACACAAATTGTGTCAAGCAAGAGCTGTGACCTGAGCAAAACCAAGCTGGGCATTTAGTGCTAAGGAAACTCCCTGCCCATGTTCATGATTTGTGCCTACAGCATCTCTYGAGGATTCTCTTTCTCTTTGCGGGCAATTACATTCAGATGAATTACATTGGTCTTRCACAGTCTTATTCCCCTTTATTTGTGTTCTGAAGGGGACACAAGTTTCTTTCAGTTCAGATTCTTCTTCCTAAAGAAGAGGAGTCAGTCTGYTTCCATTGCTTTCAGATCCATGCTGTGTAAAGAAAATACTCCAGTACTGTAATATCTATTTCACCTTTTTTTCATATACTGGGTTTCTCTGTAAACCTTATAGCRTTCTCTAGATTATTTTTCTTTCAGCATAGATCATTTTCCCTTTCTAACAACTTGATTTGCCTCAGCCTTTTATCATCGTCATTCCCTTCTGAACACCAGCAGGACAGCTTTTATTGGCCACTTCTGTCTTTCCACAGGCCACAAACAGACCTTTAACACTTCAGTAAATTCACCAAAGGCTCATCACTTCCACTGTGACCCACAGAGCATTTTTTGTTGGTGACGACATTTTTGTTTAGTTGATTTGCTTCTGATTTAAAAAAAAAAAACCCAAACACTATTCTTTCCCCATTTAAATCTGYATGAATTCTCTGTACTTTTCCCAACAATATTCCTCCTCTTGYAGGTAGAGAATTTCTTGTTTAGATAGAACACTAATATTTCCTATTTATTCCTTCTATTTAATCAGCAAGTTTAACATTCCAGTGGAAAGCAGTTTCTACGGCAGAGAGGAAAGGGTTACTCCAAGTTCATGTATGTTTTTCCTGTCCTTTCTCTTCTCTAGTCCCTTGGAATTCTTTCAGCTTGAAACACAACCACTTGATTTAAAAACATCAGGCTCAGAAAACTGATGCAGATGGCTTTTTTCTTGCAATAAGATTTTCCCAGGGCACATGAAAGTGCAAATCATCACATCCAATCTAAGTGAAGACTCTGGTGTGTTCTCAAGGAGTGCTGGGGAGATGGCCCCATAGTCAAGACCTGTGGAGGTGCATGCACATTTTTAATTGCAAATGATGACTGATTGGGAATGGGAAACGAAATCAGCTCCCTGATGAAACAATGTCACCCCACATTTTTCTGCTACCACTTTTGTTTCTTGAAATGGGACAAAGCACAGCAACTTCTATGGGTGCCAGAAGATTTCAAACTGATATAAGTAAATACAATTAATAAATGAAAGAAATCATGAGAATTATACACTCCAGCAGAAGCTATTCTGACCTGAGTGCCAGAGAGGTTTGGGTTCTCTGTAAGTCATGAGATGTCTGAGAGACTAAAATTTGGAGCTTAGTAGGCTTCACTTCACCTTCACTCTCTTAAATTCAACATTCTAAAACCCTGTTGATTTGCACTCTTGTATTGTCATTGCTGTTGTTGTTTTTTTTTTTCTAAAACAGAAAACTCTCTGTACTTGACTATTAACTTTCTACTTTATTAGGTTTAAGTCCAGCAAACCCACRGTGTTTGCTTTCACTAAACTCCTTGGTATGGCTAGTTTAATATTTAACAATCTTTTAGACAGGGTAAAGAGCTGCCTTTTTTTTTTTTCCTTTTTTAAAAATCCCAGTGTGACTTTGCCCTTGTTAGTCTAACAATAGGCTGTTCCATCGCTGAGCACATGGATAACTGCAAACACTGGTGAAAGGTTTGGAAGACAAAGGGAGAAAGGCGGATAAGCAGCAGTGCCAAAGTCACTTTGACAGAGGTTCTCTGGTGCGTAGCAACAATACAACAGCCTGAACTGTTTAACGCTCACTTAAACATAACATCAGCCTTCATGTAATATCTATAAATAACAATGCTACTTGAAGCGGTGGGAGGGCCAGAACTTCATTTTAAAGTGTTCTAACTCAGTGATTTATACACTGCAATCAAACTACTGTATTATAAATGGAAAATATAAAGCTTCATACGTCCAATTTTCTGACTTTTCTTAATATATGTGTAATGYAAGAAATCTTCCTGTTCCTTCCCTCAAAACCAAACAGATGGCCGGATGAAGCAAAGTGTCTGGAAAGCTCTGCTGTCAGCTCACTGCACTGGCTCYGTGTAACACCCCATCCACTCCCAGGCCCGCATGAAATCACACAACTTCAGTGCCGAATGCTACAAGGCAAGTACAAGGTGAGAAAAAAAAAAAACAAAATCTCAAATCCCTCCCCCCCCCAACAAATGCACAGCTCAAACCCTGTGTTCCGTAGTCGATTCTTTTGTTTCTTATGAAGTCTTGGAAACGTAGTCAGAGCTAAACTCTTTTTGCTGATTAAAGGCAGAACAGGAAGGATTAAACCATTATCATGTCTTTAAATGCCGGCTGAAAGCTGGTATGCACCCGTGGAAAATCAAAACAGGTGCCACCTCGGCCAAATTTCAACAGCCCTTGCAACCA